CGTAGCTCTATCGTATACAGTCGTGTGATGCGGTTCCAGGGCCACGGTGCCCTCATGTCGCCGTGCGAGTAGGCAACGCGCCCACACGCCTGTATGGCGGGACAGTAGCACTACAGTACCTCAACACGTAAGCGATCAGGACTTGTCCCACAGCTTCACGTGTGCTCAAGTTTTTCACATAATTTGGATTCATTTAAGAAAACACTCCCAGTGAACTTTGTTAAATTTGGCCAAACTTCAGTTTTCTTAAATATGTATATTTTTATTCGTTTGACTTTGGTTGCCCTGGCATGAAAAGTTCGTTTCAGTAAATCCAATTTGTTGTTCCTCTATAGAAGTGCGGTTTTCTGGGCGCACCACTCGTCTAGTCGTCCCACCGTTATGCGCGTGGCGCCACATATGAAGGTTCAAGTGACCCTCCCGCGCCGTTATCAGGTGGGGGTGTCGTTGTTATTTGACTCCCATATTAGGTGGCGCATTTATTTACTTGACCTGTCTCACAAAGGGTTCAAACTCAACTGCGTAGTACTGCACTCGGAAAAATTGTTTGTTATTTAGTAAATTTTACTCAAGACCAATTTTTACGTTTCTAATAATGAGGGCGTTCTCAGGTGTTTCTTGCTCTTATTCGACAGCAAATTTCTTAATTTAAACAAACAGAATATTGGCTTGTTTCTTGAGCATGATTAATTGATCTTAGGTCAGAATTGTGAACTGTTGCAAGTGCAACTTGCGGTTGAACTTTGAACGCTCTTCTCGACCCCTGCCAGTCTTGTGCTTTGTGCAGCGCGCTGGAGCGGCGGCCATCTGATCCAAACCGATGCAATTTCATCAACGCGGGGGTGGGGTGGGGGTGGGGGGTTCCTATACTTGCCAGCGCCAGCCGATAAGGATGTTTGGCTGTAGCCACAATGTAATGCAAACTCCTCGGCAAATAACTCAAAGACCGAGACGGCAAATAGGAAAAGGGTATAGACTCGTCCTCGGTCTATTTACCCCTCCTTTATGTCATGTATGCGAAAGTTCACTGAAAAGGGTTCAGTAGCCTTACTGTGCGGACAACGACCGGGTGTGTTATGGAAAAGCAGCAAACATGTGGCCATTCAGTGTCAGTGACTAGATCTGACGCGGATCAGAAAAGAATTCGAGTAACGTAGCATTAACAAGAAAAAGCGAAGTTACGTAGTACTCTTGTTTCGCGCGAGAAAGGCGAGAAGGGTTCTCACGCGTAGCCCTCTCTGGTGGCGAGAAAGTGAAAATCACGATAATGGCCAATTTTGGAACAAGTGCAGTGTGCAAGCCGTCAAGTGCAAGTATACAACTACATAGTTGGCTGGATGACTATGGGTGCAAAGGAGACCGCTACAAGGGCCTGTCTACGAATGTAACGCGCACCATACATGCAGGTAGTATTGTCCTGCCCAACTGTTGTGCATTCAGAGCGACAGTAGTGTCCGTACACCTCGCGGCTACGGACCGTGGTCTTCCCTCGCGCGAGAGTTTGTGTCTTGTGGAGTATCGGCGGAGTATCTCCGCCAGCCAGCAGGGCCGCGGTGGTGCGGTCACGAGAGGTCGGCTGTGACGTCACAATGAGCTCGTCACTGCCCGGCGTGGCCCCCGGCATGGCGCGGCTACGTCACGCGACTGACAGCCGGCCCGCGGTCCCGGCGCCCGGCGCGCGCATGCGCCGTGCGGCGGGGGGCGGGATAAGATGTGCGCCCGGCCCCAGAGCCGCCGAGGGGCTGCTGGTCGTGCGCACGGCACCTCTTGCTGCACACGGCCCGCCACATGCTGCACACGGCACGCTCGCGGTGCACACGGCCCGCGCGGTGACGTGGCGCGTGCCGGGCGCACCGTGCGGGTGTTACAACCCGAAGCAGGTGAGGTGCGAGTGGTGCGACACCCCCGGGATAGGTACCAACTCTACCAGCATCGCAGGACTCAGGACACGGCTCGGCGGCGCCTCGGCACGGGGAGGATCGGCTTTGCTTACCGTAATTATGAAAACCAACCCTTACACCGCGTCGATGAGATGGGTCCGGGACATTGCTGCCTGTCTCCCTGGGGCACGTTTGTGGAGTGGATTGAGAGAGTCTGTAAGGACTTATAGTCTCTCTAAGTCGTCTCTGCCCGGTCTCTGAAGCCGCCCTGCTGCCCCGCAGGTGGGGGAGGGGGCGGCGGCGCGGGGTGTTCCCAGTGTGTGTGGTGTGGCCCCCGGTCCACCCCGGCCGGGCGTTCGTTGCGCACGGCGAGGCCTTGCGGGGCGTGGCGGGGGCGGGGCGGGGGTCAGCTGTGGACCTCCACCGCCGAACCGAACGCTCCGCCGAGCGCCGCTCGACCCCGCAGTGTGGTTGGCCCTCCCGAACGCAGCGCGACTCTCCTCCTCCTCCCTATCCGTCTGCCGTCCGACAATTGAATATTAACGATAACAATAACGCCGCTGTCTGACTCGCTTATCACCACCACGCATCGCGTTGTGACAATTTTCATTTTTTTATCGAAATCGTTCAATCGTCTTTTTTGGGTGGTGGGCGGCTAAACGTTCCTCCGCGGTACGGGTTTGTTGTCGGGGTGGACGACACGCCACTCTGCCCCGGGATGGCTGGCGAGCGACACGGAGGCGAGCGGGAGCCGCTGCTGCAGTGCGCGCGCTCGGGGCGCCGCCGCCCCCCGCAGCAGCGCGGCCCCCGCGGGCTCGTGGCCTCGGGGCCGCGCGGGCCCAGCAGGGCGCACGGGGCGCACGGCGCGCGCCGAGGATACGGGGGCACGCGGAGCAGGACCGGACTGTGGTGGTGAGTGAGGAAGTCGGAGGAAGCTGAAAATACCCTGTGGCGGGATGGTTTGAACTCCCCGCGGCGTGGCGGTCATGGTGCCCATGGCCCATGGTAGAATGGGAGGAAGGAAGACATTGACCCGTGAAGCTCGTTACATGACCATTTAAATGCGAAACGGTGTATATTTTGGACAGTGAGTACCGATGGTAATGATCGCTCGGGCGCTACTTACACGGCACGCCTCGTTGTGGTTTTTATAGTTTCACCATAACTGGCAAGACCAGGTTATTTTCTTTTCTTCTTCGTGTAAGCAAAAACGTGTCAAATGTGTCACGCTTTTGGTTGTTTTTATTTATTCAAACGGTAGCCGGCCTCCCCGTTTTGTTTACGCCCCTGAGGTGGAGTCCCCCGCCGCGGGTCCCGCAGTGGTCGCCACTGGGCTTGCACCCCGGGGGAAGACCTAATCCCTCCTGCGAGACAACAACGAAAGCAATAACAATGTCGAGGGATGTCGCTGTTTTTGGTGGCTTACGGTTCCGGTCCGCGCCGGTGTGATTCCGGAGGAAAGTTTTTCCGGGAGGAACAAGACAGTGCGGTGTGACAGTGACAATGAGTCTCTGGCTGGCGCTGCGCGCAGCGCTCGTCGTGTCCGTCATTAGCGAGCCAGCAGAGAGTACTTTGCAGCGCTGCTCGTGTCGCACGTTATGTCATACGCCCGTTTCCCGCTTATCCAACATACTCTGCGTCCCTCCAAGTCTTTCTGTATTAATGATTCATATGGCAGTGGGATTTGGGGAGAGGCGGGAAGGGGGGGGGGGAGAGAATTAGTCTGTGGGCGCAATAGTATGGTGGTGGCAGTCCGAGTCGAGGTTATCGCAGCAGGGCCCCATCCCATCCCATCGCGCTGAGCGCGGGCAGTAACTGAAATTCCCTCACGCTCGAGTGAGACGGGCGGGCAGTTTCTCATATATCGCCGGGCATACACGCCCTCGCACTTGCAAAATGCTTACGAATAAGAACAGGTTCGCATAATGCAAACTGTATGCTCTGCTGCTTTACGGAGGATTTTCATGAGCATTGTGTGACGAACCTTTATTCTTCGTAAAGCTTACCCAACAGGTCCGTAATGCAACAAACACATCGCTTGTATTGGACTTTCGTCAGCTTTGCAGAGAAATGCTTCGTAAAACTATGGAAATTTTGAACTCTCACCGACGCTGAAAACGAAATTTACTTCGGGGGGCAGTGTTTGACAGTGCGGTCAGCCTCTTATCTCCACAGCACGGGCACCCTTCCCAGCTCCTCCCCTGATGCTGTCTCCCTCTTCTCCCCCATCTCTCTCTCTCTCTCTCTCTCTCCCCTCCCATCCCGCACCGTACGGTGCACTCTGCCGGTGAGCAGCCGCACAAGCCACTTCGGGACGCATAGCGATCGTGCCCGTGTCACGCCATCGTTATTTGCTCGGAATAAATGGCGAGTATATGGTGCGGCATGTGAGGCGACATCGCGCGGGCCCTTGGCCTTGGAGGGGCCGCACCACACCTCTCCTCGTGCCTCACTCCACTTCGCCCATCAGATCAGGCTAATCGTCCATTAATTCTCAAAGTCCAATATGTCCACAGCTGCGCGCGGACAGCTGTCCTCTGCCACCCGCCCGCCCGCCCCGAGCGGCACGTGCCCTAGAGGCAATTTAGGCGGCCGGGGTCGTCACAGGTGTGGCGATGCGACAGAGTCGCCACATGGCGAGTAGCCCACCCACCCAGAAAACAGCAAAGTGTCTGTAGTGTTCGGCGGGCTTTAGCAGCTCTAGTTGTCCGTCTAAAGCAGCTGCTCTCGCCTTGGAACGGGCGCGCCGCTGCAGCAGCCCGTTATCGCGGCGATACCCCCTGCCTACAGCTTCATCTCAAATCGTGCAGCGTTTTTGCTTGGATGCACGCAAAAGCAACGCGATACTTATTTGGTTTTTAAACAAAATATGTAAATCACAGTGAACCCTGACGTTAACATTTACCCGACTGTCTGACGATGCCGTCCACCCACGCGGTGCTGTACATGGCCCAGCTCATAAAGCGCCAGACTTACTCGAGGGCCGGAAGGGCGGAAGCGACACTCTTGCACTCTTTCCTTCCGGGGGGGGGGGGGGGTGCGCTCGGCGGGGGTCCCAGACCGACCAGTCGCTCTGTGCGTAACGAGGCTGCCATCTTACTTCTGGTCTGCGCCTTGCAGGGACGCGGACGAGACCTCGGCCCTGATGGCGGGCCACGACGACCAGGAGGACGCCGTCGACGGTCCCTCCGGCGCTCGCGAGGCCACGGTGGACGTGCACGTCGAGGGCATGACGTGCCAGTCTTGTGTCCGGAACATTGAGGGCCACGTGGGGAAACAACCCGGCGTGCTGCACATCAAGGTGAGTCTGGGCCCCTGCGGCGGACGGGGTAGGCAACACCGTAATGCTTTGGTGTGCTGCACTTCTGGTGTGTGCCTACCTACTAGGCGCTCTGAGTTGATCAGCCGGCTCTGAATTACCTTTTCTCGTGTATCTACAAAAACATTGTTTGAAATGATTTTTGATTTCTTTACATTGCCTATCTTATGTCTCAGGTGAGCTTGGAGCAGAAAAGTGCGAGCATTACATACGACCCGAATGTGACAACAGCTGAAGAACTGCGATCCACCATTGACGACATGGGTTTTGATGCAACACTGGAAGACAATAGCATTGAGTTAGCCTGCCAAATTAGAGTGGAAGGCATGACCTGTATGTCTTGTGTTCGGAACATTGAAGGTAAGCTGCCATCTAAATCCTTTATTAAAAAGTAAGAGTGTTCCGCAAGTGTTCCCCTTTTTTACAATTTTTTTCTCAATTTCAGGGACTATTTCAAGCAAACCTGGTGTCCTTCATATTTCTGTTAGTTTAGAAAACAAAGAAGCATCTGTTAAGTTTGACCCTATATCTGTGTCAGCTGCAGAAATTACTGAATTCATAAATGACATGGGATTTGAAGCAGAATTAATGTCAGGAGGAGGTGACACTTCCATGTCAGGTAATTTTAAATCCATATCACAATAATTTCAAAACTGCACATACACTTAAGATCATATTTGTTCACTTTTTCTAAATACATATTTTCTTTCGTTTTTAGGGAACAAAGACAGCAAGGAAGGAAAACGAAAATCAAAAAGTGAGGGTAAAGTTTCAAATGGATATGACCAGAGAATAACTATTGAAGATGCGCCTGATGATTCAAATCTTCAAAAATGTTACCTGCATGTAAAGGGCATGACATGTGCCTCATGTGTTAGTGCGATTGAGAAACATTGCCGGAAAATTCATGGTATGAACTGTTATTGATTGTACCCAGACAAATCTAAATGAATTCCAACATCTTAATTGTAATTCATTTCTCTTCTAGGTATTCACAGTGTATTAGTTGCTCTTTTAGCTGCCAAAGCTGAGTTTAAATATGACCCAGTGATGATTCAAGCTATAGACATAGCAAATTCAATTACTGAACTAGGATTCCCAGCAACACTTATTGATGAGCCTGGTACTGGTGAGGCTGAAGTAGAATTAAGGGTAAGTCCATTACTTATGACTGAAAACTTAATTCAAAAATGTCACTGTCTTGTTTACAATTCTTAATAAATTAAATTCTTTTCACAGATTTCAGGAATGACTTGTGCATCCTGTGTAAATAAGATTGAATCTTCTGTGAAGAAAATGAAAGGAGTCAAAACAGCATCTGTTGCACTGACAACTCAAAGAGGAAAATTCCGTTTTGATGCTGAATTAACTGGTCCTCGGGACATTGCTGATTTTATAACTGAATTAGGTTTTCCAGCATCCTTCATTTCCAAAGACAACAATTCCCGATCACACTTAGACCATGAGTATGAAGCATAGCTTTACTTCTTCTGATATCTGACATCTTATTTCCTGTCTAGTAGCTCGCATTCTGTTTTTGATTCTAATTTTTTGTTCTTTTTTTTTTTTTTTTTTGCCTAGGGATGATATTAGAAAGTGGCGTACTGCATTTATTATATCGCTCACTTTTGGACTGCCCTGTATGCTATTTATGATGTATTTCATGTTTGGAATGGATTTTGGATACATTGCTCATGAAGACATGTGCTGTGTTGTACCTGGTCTATCATTAGAAAACCTATTACTTTTTGTGTTTTCTACTCCTGTTCAGGTGAATTGATTTTTACATCTCTGACCATTAATTGTGTTTCTTGTGTTTATAATTACTCTCTTTTCTAGTTTTTCGGAGGTTGGCATTTTTATGTTCAAGCATATCGAGCACTAAAACATGGGACTACAAACATGGATGTCCTTATATCTATGGCAACTATTATCTCCTATGTGTATTCAGTATGTGTACTCATGGCATCAATGATTTTGATGACACCCACCAGTCCTCAAACATTTTTTGATACCCCTCCTATGCTGTTTGTATTTGTCTCCCTTGGACGTTGGTTAGAACATGTTGCTAAGGTACGTTTATAGTTCTCCAAATATGTAGTGTTGTAGATTGCAGTGCCCATTGATTTGACCTCTTATTAAAAACCATATTTTTCTCTTTTAGGGCAAGACATCTGAAGCTCTGTCCAAATTATTATCACTAAAGGCAACCGATGCCCTTCTTGTTACAATTGGTGAAGATGCAAATGTTACTTCTGAGAAGGTGATTAGTGTAGATCTGGTTCAAAGAGGTGACATTCTCAAGGCAAGTAATTTATGTTGTTTGCTTTTCTTTGTCTATTTTTTCTCTATCCCTTCTTTAAAATTTTATCTGATCTAAAAAAAATAATTCTAGGTTGTTCCTGGCTCAAAAGTGCCAGTAGACGGTAGAGTAATTTTTGGCAATTCTACTTGTGATGAGTCTCTTATCACTGGGGAATCAATGCCTGTGCTGAAAAAAGTTGGTAGGTTTCTTTGTTATAAATTAAGAAATTATTTATGGGCTTGTGCTGAAACTTACTGATTAATAAGTGTAACTGACATTAATCGTTAATCTATGTTTCCATGTTCACTTTTTTGTTAGGTTCTGTGGTGATAGGAGGATCAATCAATCAGAATGGTCTTCTTTTGATGACTGCGACTCACACTGGGGAAGCAACAACACTTGCTCAAATAGTTCGCCTTGTGGAGGAGGCTCAGACATCGAAAGCTCCTATTCAACATTTAGCTGATCGCATTGCAGGCTACTTTGTACCCCTTGTTATTGGTGTATCTTCACTTACTCTCTTAGGCTGGATTATTACTGGTTATGTAAATGTAAAGTACCTGCCTATCAGTGTAAGTATATCTTTATTTCTTTCCTACTTAGTGCTACGCAATATGCACTGTAAACTAAATATTTTTATTAATTTTAGGAAAGTGAAGCTTCTGGACTTAGTCATGATGAAGTGATATTCCAGTATGCATTCAGGTGTGCTTTAAGTGTCCTTGCAATAGCTTGTCCATGCGCTTTAGGACTTGCTACTCCTACCGCTGTGATGGTTGGAACTGGAGTTGGTGCATTAAATGGTATTCTTATCAAGGGTGCTGAACCTTTGGAAAATGCTCACAAGGTAAGTACATCATATATGTAGTGCTGCTCAATCTATATGTTGATGTCTACTTTTATTTTCTTCAGTGTAAAATGTTTCATTCCTTATTATTTTAGGTGCGGACTGTTGTCTTTGATAAGACAGGTACTATTACACGAGGAGTTGCATCTGTATCACAAGTATGTCTCTTTGTGGAGAATGTGACTTTCAGTCTGTCTAAGTTTCTTGCTATTGTGGGTACAGCTGAAGCCAGTAGCGAACATCCTATTGGTTCTGGTAAGTTACCCATTATTTTTCTTTTCTATCTTAATCTTAAATTCCTATATATATACATCCCAACTATATATTTTACCTTTTATTTTTCATTTTAGCTATTGTCAGATTTGTAAAAGGAGTCTTTTCATCTGAAATTTCTGGAAAGTGTAACAATTTTCAAACTGTGCCTGGATGTGGATTGAAGTGCACAGTTTCCCATTTAAACAGCCTCCTATCCTCTACCAGCAAATCAGATATACTGACTACTTTCAATAATTCTAAGTAAATTGACCATAAAAACTTTGTGCTTAAAACTTTTATTTTTAAATTGGATTGATACTTATTGTTAATTGATATTTACTCTAAAAGGAATCGGAATGACCAAACAATAACTGCAGATGGTGTAATAATAAGAACACAGCTTACACAGCAAGCAATTCAAGAGAAGTGTTTGCTTGAGCTCCAGCAAAGATTAGATGAGAACATTGACAATAGTTCTAAAGACGGATGTTATGAGGTAAGCAAATATGTTGTTTCTGCCTATCTTAGGTAGCTCAAGTGTTCTAGCCATTCAATTAATATTACAATTGTTTCAAGGTTGTAATTGGTAACCGAGAATGGATGATGCGCAATGCTGTCTCTGTGCCTCAAGAAGTTGATGGAGTGATGTCATATGAGGAAGAAAATGGCAGGACTGCTGTGCTGTGCGCTATTGATGGTAATAATTACAGCTGTTTGTTGTATTTAGTGCTTTGCTTAGTAATTCTTATTTTAAATAAAATAAATTTTTCCTACTTAAGGTGTCCTAGTGGGAATGCTGAGTGTAGCTGACATGGTGAAACCAGAAGCTCATCTTGCTGTTTATACTTTAAAGAAACGAGGCTGTGAGGTGATTCTTCTCACTGGAGATAATAGGAAGACTGCTGTAGCTATTGCTCGCCAGGTAATTTAATAACAATTGCTCTCCATACTAAATAGCGCATTTCCTTATATTGACTTCACATTGATTGAAATGAACTTCTAAAAATATAACTTGTCCTGTATTGGTTTCAGGTTGGAATTACTAGAGTCTTTGCAGAAGTTTTACCATCACATAAAGTTGCCAAAATTCAGGGTTTGCAAAAATCTGGCAATAGAGTTGCTATGGTGGGAGATGGTGTAAATGATTCTCCAGCTTTAGCTCAGTCAGATGTAGGAATAGCTATTGCATCAGGAACTGATGTTGCAGTAGAGGCAGCAGATGTAGTCCTCATGAGGGTTAGTGTACTTGCCCACTCATCTTGCTTTCATGTTGATATATTTATGTTTCTGTTCAACCAATAGTTGTGAAATACTTTTCAGAATGATCTTTTGGATGTAGTGGGCTGCTTAGATCTATCAAGAAAAACTGTGCAGAGAATTCGACTGAATTTCTTATTTGCCAGCATGTACAATATTGTTGGGATTCCAATTGCTGCTGGCCTTTTCAGTCCCTTTGGGTTTACTCTTCAGGTATAGTATTTATCAAATTAAATAAAACAGTGTATTTCTATAATTTTGTAATATAAATGCAAATTCTAAATTTTTGTTGTTACAGCCTTGGATGGCATCAGCAGCCATGGCTCTGAGCTCTGTGTCGGTTGTGGCAGCTTCGCTGTTACTGAAAACGTAAGTAGAATCACCATGTGTTGATGTGTGTTGGCCAGGGTTTAAAAATAAGTTGGGCAATGAAAAGCATAATATACGTATTAGTACTAT